GTGGAGACAGATTTGCACTTAATTCGCTAGATGGATTAGCGCACTTCTGCTACTTTTTCGTCTAGTCACATATAGTTCACTGATATGAGCAGCGAACTTGTCCATGTATCCTGCCAATTTGTCAGAGTCCAAGGACATTTATTGTTGCCTAGTTCGCTGTATCTAGTAGTGAACTTATTGACCACTAGAAACACGCCACATCAGCAAATCAAGTTCGCTGCATACTGTAGCGAACTTAGACGCGTGACATATTAAAAAATAACACTGTTCGTGTGGCATTTAGATAAATAACTCAATGAACAGTGACATTTTGGTCACTGTTCCAATTTTGTTTCCGTAAATATATTTAAAAAATCATTTTAGTCAAAATTTTTGATGGAAATTAAATTCCGTCAAAAATCTCAACAAAATATTTTTTCGTTAAAAATTTTAATAGAATATTTTTCCGTTGAAAATTTACTAAAAAACCACATAAAACCAATCCACGTCATTAATCTGTGTGAAAATTTTCAACAGAATTTTCGATAAAATTCATTAAATAAATAATATGTTAGTGCTTTATTTTTTAACAGATACTAATTTTGTTGCCTTTGGGCGAAGTGTATTTTGATGAAAAAAATTCTTAGAAAATGTATTTTTCAACTAAATTTTTGTCATTTGCAACAGAAAATTTTAGTAAAAAAATATGATCTTTTTTAGTAGTGTGAAATAATATATAAATAATTTTTTAAAAATTTTAAATTTAATTTGAAAAATATAATAATAGTATTAATTTTTTTCAAAGGACAAAATTATAAAAATATCTTATTAACCTTCTATTTCTCTCTCGTACCATATTTTCCTTTCCCTTTTTTCCTCTCAGATCCTCTTTCTTTTCTTCCTCTCCAAACTCTAAAACAATGACTTAATTTATTTCTTTAGCATCATGCCTCCAATTAATTCGCTTTTTTTTATTGCGGGCACAACTTCAGTGCATACCAACTTCCACATGAATTCCATCGTTTATATAATTGTGCTCAACTTTGTGGGATGATCAGACTCTACTCTTAATGTGTTACATGTATTTTAGCAACATCATTCAATCATTGGTCTCTTTCAAAGGAAACAATCAATAATGTTTGAAACCACTCAAATTATATTGTTTCGTAACATGATAAAGAACTGATCAAGGAATATAGCGTGGAGGCTTTTTCATATTTTATTGGAGATTGTTCCATTGGTGTTATTATTGGAAAATTTGCTTGTTTCTTGGGGAACTCATTAACGTTATTGTGGAGGGGGCTCACTAAAGTAATATGAATGCTTACCAGGAATGGTATTATGGTAATAAATCTAATGATGCTCAAGAACCTCACTCAGCGCTTCGAATTGGAGCTTGGCTTCCAAAAAATAAATAATGGAATGTTCGCTTCACCCATTATTCAGCCGTTCTCTCCTATCTCTCTGCATCCTCTTTTTTGGTCTTGGTCTTTTTTTAATGAAAAAAAAAATCATCCTTTTGGGAAAATGTAAAAATATGATGTAAAATCAAAAAAGGATGGTGGAGATATGGGTAGTAGAATAGAGTCGATATACAAGTCCAAGTTGCGACGGAACAAATACCCGTTGGAAATAAGGAAGTGGGTGTTGATTTATGCTATTATTATTTGTTTTTTTTTTTTTTTTGGCTAGGATATCCAGGATTATATAATTATATAATATTTGTATATATACTCGGTTAAATTAGTCAACTTTTTTGAAATAAAAAATAGTGACCACACATTATTCTTTCTCCTCTTAAGTTGTAATATCGGAAAAAATTATGGTAATCCCGGTGTATAATGTTTCTTCCATTAAGTATGTGATACTTGGATTCTTTTTCTCTATCGTCAAATTCTCTTCTTTATCTATTTTCTTCGACCCATTCAATGTTTTGTGCGTAGGAATCGCCAAAGCAAAGCTCCATAATGTGGAACATAATCACTTACGAGAAGATTATGTAGCCATTCAAAGTGAAGGAATTCAACGTTAGAGAAGGGCATTATGTGTGTTTATGCTACAAGATATACATTTTGGGTTGATAAACAATAATGATTCCTTAACCTCTCTGTTGTGTTTTAGAGATAGAAATGTTTAGGTCAATGGACTAGTTTGTTATTTTTTATCTAAGTGTCATTTCTAAGATATATATGAGTTAGATGTCTTTGAGTCAAGCAGATCACTGGACACAGAAAAATAATAAGACTTTGCCAGTTGGATGTGTGTGCACAATGACAACATAAAAGTAAGAGAGAGCGTGACGTACCTATAGACTTTATCTCTTAATTATAGAGTTTACATGTGGGTATTGGATTCTGGACTTTCAATGCTTCTGATGACGTCCCAAGCTTATATATTATACTGTCGTATTAGGATTGATATCCGATGGATATTCTTCCTTAACTATATCTGATTTATATTTGAATTGCCATTTGTTAAACTTATCAATAGATGAGCCGTATATGTGAGTCCATAACACTCTGAAATCCCAATAGTCTCTAATACATTATCCAATTATTCCTAGAGTACGAGTGTTATATATGCATGAGTTTGATTAATTTTGTATTTTGAGTAAAATATATAATGTTTTAAATGCATAACATACAATATATGTATGTCTTAATTCCAACTAAATAAAAAATGAGTGCAAATAAGCTATTGACATAAATTATTAATGGTTTTAATGTTTCTCCAATTATTATAATGGTAAAGTTATTTAGTCTAAAATGACATTATTTTGGAATTAGGAGAAAAAATATTATAATAGTAAAAATTAATATAATTTTATAATAAATTACAATTATAAAAATATATTTTTAATATTAGATTGATATCATTTTAGGTTCATTGAATAAACATTAAATTCATTATTAATAAAAAAAATATGAAAAGTACAGATAAGACAAAACGAAATGAGAGAGGAGTAGCGAGGAGGGGTAGAGTAGAGTAGGCCCAAAAAGTTCAAAAGCTAGTAGAAGGAGTGTGATACAGAGGTTCATTAATTCTGAGTAAACACCCTTTCGGTTTGTTGACAAAAAAATATGGTTATTATTTTAGTTTTTTTATAAAAAAAATTAGGTTGTTATAAAATTTAAAGTGGACCTATTTAGTTGAAATCGTAGTTTTTTATAAATTTAAAAAAGATTTACATTACTTTATTAAAAAGACTAAAATAGATCCATTTTAAATTTTTTAGAACTTCGAGATTAATTTTTTTTTTTTTATAAAGAACGAAAATGAAGACCGTATTTTTTGTTAGAGATCTAAAAGAATATTTACTCATTAATTTTTTATTTTAATTAAGGTAAATTTTTAAGATACAACATTATTATCATACAAAATATAAAATTAACATAACTTTAATAAAAGTACAAATTCTAGAGATATATTTAAGATAGTAATACAAATATCAACATTAACGCTCAAAATTTGTAAATATTATTAATTATTCTTACCACCAATCTTAAGTACGAAATTAAAAACAGTAATATCGCGTGAAATGTTAGATAGATGCATAATAGATAATCTATATATATGTACTACTACGACACAGTCTACACGCCTAGACCAAGGCTAGATTACAACAGACATCAAATTCATGATTTTTTTTAATTTTTTTTTTTTTGATATTATCCTTGATAATTTCATAAATTTTGTATGGATTAATCTGAAATTCGAAATAAATTCAGATTAAAATTTTAAATTTTTTTCAAAAATAATATTTAAGAAGATGGAATATAAATTCTCATATGCTCCACTTTCATCCGCCAATTAAATTACTATTATTAGTCAAATTCATGGTTGTTAAATGGCAGAACCTGCACTCAATTGAATTCAGTTGTTCCTGCATCACCAAACTCAACCAATCCTTTTCAATCTTGCCGTAGTCTTCGCTAAGTTGCTTCCATCTGTAAGCAGAAGCACTGTGCTCTGCACATGTCACAATCAATGACATGTAAAATTATTACACGTGTGTTTTGCAAAAAAATAAATAAGTCATAACACGTAATTTGCAGTAGTACTACCAGTACTACTGTAGCACTAAAGATATTTAGTGCTATCTTAAACAACGTGAACTACGTTCATATTTATTTTTGTTAAAACAGAGCTTGTGAATAATTTGTTTGATAAATTTGTTAGTAGTAGAGAGGTAAAATAGGCTCCGGCGTGTCAACTCATCTTACTTGCTAGACGGGAACGAGACGGGTTGAATTTTTTAATTCATTTCAAAAGCAGAACAGAGCTGAATGAGCTCAATTTTTGGCTGACATAGACAAATTGAAACCAGTCAGTGTAAAATATGATTGGGCTGACGGTCCAACCCGCTCAACCTGTCAAATAAGATGAAACGGACTGAGTTTATTTTAGTCCATTTTCAAAAACAAAACAAGACAGGCCGACTGATTTTTAGATTTTCTGGAACTGACCGCCCACATAAAGGGGAGGGTCCCCATAATACAATTCAAATTACAATAAAATAATAATAATTGTATTTTTAGTTTCTTAAATGATCAACTTGAATACTATGACTCATTTGTTTGTCCAAACAGTTGCATCTCTGGGGTTTCGATTTTTTTAATGCTTCTGTCGTTGTCTCTCTTTCGTGGTATAAGAGAAGCACGTTCGTCAATTTTTTCCACTAAGTATAGAGAATGGAGATGGAAGTTGAAGGGTTGTGTGAAGTCACTGCTGCAGCTCCTCGCGTTCTTCTCGTATCTGCTGGTGCCAGCCACACTGTGGCACTTCTTAGTAAGCACCAATCAGTGTCTCACTTCTGTTTTGTTTAGGATTACTATGTACTGAATGAAACATTACATTTGAGTTCTGAAAAGGTTGATGAAATTATATTGCAAGTTTTTTGAGACTTATGAATTTTTTTATTCATTTTTAATTTTGATGTTTTAATGTTTTGACAGCTGGAAATGTTGTTTGCTCATGGGGAAGGGGAGAGGATGGACAGTTAGGCCACGGTGATTCTGATGATCGACTGTTACCTACAAAACTGAGTGCATTGGATGGCCAAAACATAGTATCTGTTACTTGTGGAGCTGATCATACAATGGCACGTTCTGAGTCCGGCAGGGATGTATACAGTTGGGGATGGTTGCTCTCCATCTTAACCTTTTTATTTTTTGCTTGTCATGATTGGAATCTCATTTTGCATTTAATTTAGAATGGGACCATAAAGGCTTATATATGTTCTGATTTAGTATTAGATTCAGCTTCAAGTAAGTAATAATAGCTTGTTTAGTTAGATAATTAGTTTGTTTTCCTTTATCAGTGATATTTATATAAAAATGTTAATTCATTGCATCTTGAAGATTTGCGTGTGAAAGTTTGATTTGGGACTCAATAATTTGTGTGTATGAAAGTTGAACAGCAAACTTGATTTTGGTGATAGGAAGAAACTGGACATTTTATGTTATTGTATGAAAGCTCATCACAGATAATGAGTTATCAACTGTTGGGCATATATCATGTTTTGTATTGTTTTCAATCACCAGGCAATTTCTGAAACTTTTTTTTTTCATATCAAAAGTAGTCTTTTGAAGTATGGTTTGTCTGTCATATTGGTGACTGTGATATATTTTTTGACGAGATCATATTATGGTTTTCCAGGGGTGACTTTGGGAGGTTGGGTCATGGTGATCATAGGGACTTGCTCATTCCTCATCTCATTACAGCATTACAGGGTCTAAGGATAAAGCAAATTGCTTGTGGGGATAGTCATTGTTTAGCAGTTACCATGGAAAACGAGGTGCTGAGGTTTGTAGTTCTTAATTTTGCCCAAATTTTAATATATTTTTTGGTCTGTCCTAACCTTTTTTTCCTAGTACTAATTGCTAGTCCATTAAGGTTGAGTTGTTTGATTGAGTATATATAGAAGCTCATAGTGCAATCACAGGGAGTCATTTTGTAGCGCAAGCTGATTCTTTGGCCCCATCTTTTTGCTTTCATTCCCTTCTCTTTTCTTTTCCTCTTCTCTGTTTACTGAGAGAATGTTTGAAGAGGATCCTTGATATCGATTGGAGCAGTATGAGGTTGCTTTGTAATGTCCATTTGATTTTTGGGGCACACTCTTCTTGAGTTGTTGTAGTTTTCTAAAGTAACTGTTAAAGCATGTCCTACCCAAATTCTCTCTTTATGGATTGGCTCTGCTGCCTTGCCCATGGTACATCCATCTAATTTAGTTTGAACTCTTGTATAACTTGATGGCACCGTCTAATTAACATTCCATTTTAGATGTAGCAATACATATAGAAATCCTTGTTTTATTCTGGAAGGCTAAAAGTCAGTTTTATGTTTGTTGTTTCCAACATAAACCCTATTTTTAGGTGGTAAATAAGAAATGGGTGTTTTATTCTCATTTCCTGTGTGACCTATTTAACTGTTTGTGTCTTCGTTACATGGCAGAGAACTGCTGTTCCTTTGCCTTTTTTTTGTTCCCATTTCCAGCATTAGTTAGACTGTATCAAATAAATTTCTCAATGCTTACTCTTTACATATTATCTGCACCTTGTTATGTTAAACTATTGTTGAATTCTTTTTCTGTCATGATTAAAGTTGGGGGCGTAATCAAAATGGTCAACTTGGACTTGGTACAACAGAGGACTCTCCTGTGCCACAAAAAATTCAAACATTTCAGGTACTCTTTTCAGAGCTGAATCTAGATTGTCTATAATGAATAATGATATGTCACCTGGTTATCAGCACACAAAAAGATGGATTCAACAGTTTACTTTAGTAATCAGGTCTAATTGCTGTTGATTTGTTATTTACTTTCTTTAAAGCTAGAAAGCATTGAGCGGTTTCTCATAGGTGCGGACCTAAACATTCTAGCTGATTGGTGCGCTTAATGCTATCTAGTGTGATAAATTTATAAAAAATAATATCTATTTCATGAATGTGTGCAAAACTAGGAGTAGAATGTCCTTTAAATGTCTTGAGTCTTGACTATTTTTTAGAAGAAACTTTACTGTGTTTGCTCGTTTTGATGTTCAAAAAATTGCAGGGACCATTTAGTTAGTGGCAAGACTTTTTTTTTTTTTTTTTTCTATATTTAGAGAAGGGGAAACTTGGAACCTCATTCATAAAGGTCGAACTGAATACTATGGAAATTGACCAACCCATCTTCTAATCTTCATTAAAAGCATCGTTTACAGTTTTGAAGTACCCCCAGTTTAAACAAATGAAAGAGAAAACACAGCTAACATCAACAAAAACTACAGCAGCAATAGCTCTCTTGTCAAGAAAGAGTTAATATCTTGACTTATGTCATTGTATAAATTAATTGGACAATAAAAAGTTGTATGCATCAAACAAATTGTTCCGTCAACTATTTGGAAACATTATGAATTTTTATACTATTCTAGGGAGTACCTATCAAAATGGTTGCTGCTGGTGCTGAACATAGTGTAGCAATCACTGAAGACGGGGACTTGTATGGATGGGGTTGGGGCCGATATGGAAACTTGGGATTGGGAGACAGAAATGATCGCTTGATCCCTGAGAAAGTGACTGTTGATGTATGTTCTCAAACTTGTATAAACTTACCTTATCAGATTATAATTTGGAAAAAGATATTAAGAGATTATATATATTGTTTTTGATTCCAGATAACTGTCGATTTTGCAGGGTGACAAGATGGTCATGATTGCTTGCGGCTGGCGGCACACAATATCTGTTTCATCTTCTGGTGAATTATACACAAATGGATGGGGAAAATATGGCCAGCTAGGACATGCACATTTCGAGGACCATCTTGTGCCTCGCAAGGTTCAAGCCTTGAGTGATAAGTTCATTTCTCAGGTGATCCTTTACGTTCAAGCTGAGTTGGTGGTAATTAATCTCATTTATATGTCGTGTCATTTTTATTGTTTATAACTTACTAGAAATTTGGTAACTTTTTTGGGTTCATCTACAACCGACCCCAACTAGTTTGGGATAAAGGTGTTGTTGTTGATGTTTATAACTTACTAGAAATTTAATCTAATTAAAAGGTCCAAATTCTTCCCTTTACTCTTCTTCTTTAGTAGGTCCTCTCATGCCTGAGTCTCATTCTGGAACGCTGGATCCCTTTTTTTGTTTTTTTTTTTGGACTTCTTTCAGGTATCAGGTGGGTGGAGGCATAGTATGGCACTCACGTCTAGTGGACTACTTTTTGGCTGGGGTTGGAATAAGGTTGGAAGTACTTTATGTTCTTCTCCTATTTTCATGATATTTTTTGTATCATAACAGCATGAAATACTTATGAACACAACACAGAGGAAATGATTTGATGGTCGGCTAAAGAATTCACATGAATGCTTTCACGGAGAAAAATATACTAAATATTATTTGAAGACATTTTGAATGAAGGCTTGACGAACTCAAATCAATGACTCAGGCAGACATATGATTTATTGTAAAAGCAAAAAGATCACACATGATAATGATAAGATGAAAAATATATTTAAAATACAAAATAGTCTACCTAAAATTAAGCCATAGAATCGTGGAACTAAATTGTTCCTATCTGTATCACCCTGCTTCAAACTAAACTAGAGGCTTGTTAGAGAAATATAAAATTATTAATGTAGCCTCACCCAATGCCTTAAGGTTTTGGATTGAAATAGTTCTTTACATAGTATCAGAGCTGGAGTGACCAAGTGGTCATCAGTTCGATCCTCAGCGCCTTTCATTTTTGCGTGAGGGGTGTGTTAATCATTAATGTAACCTCACCCAACGTATTAAGGTTTTGGGTTGAAATGGTTCTTTACAAGGCTGTTTAGCAAAGGCCAAGTTTCGACATGAAGATGTCTAGCCAACAAGAGCAAGATCATCACATATGGTCAAACTGACGTGCTCTTCGACAAGAACACTTCTAAGCCATGCTCGAATAAAATGATTGGATATGCATTAGTGATGGAAGTTTGAGTTGGTATTGATAAGGGTGGCAATTCGGTTGACACGTCATGAACACGAACACACTCAACACGAACAAGACACGAATTTAAAATTGAGTTAAAACCTTCTAAACGAGTACGACCCGCTTATTTTGCAATTTGACTTGATACAATACGAATAACCCGCAATTTCAAAGTGTATTTCTTATTATACGGGTTGACATGATACGAATAACTTGCGAACCCAAAAGTGTGTTACTACTTATTATGCAGGTTGATACTGCACAAATAACTTGTAAGAATATTAATGCTAGTCAAGTTCGGGTTGCAAGTTGACATGCGACACGCTATGAATTTTTTCGTGTCAGTTTTTGCCAACATAAACATGATACGAATTTGAGAAGGGTCGACATGAACATGAATTTTTCGTGGTTGTGTTGAAAATTGTCACCCCTATTTGGTATAATCAAACCTCTTGGCATACATGCACCAGAGGAGAGGGGCACCGTGCCTCCATTGATAAAGCCAGCAACGGCGTTGGAGTTTCTCCATATATGTTTTCAATTAAAGGCCAATTGATCTCAGTGAGTGTTAGGCCATAGTATTTGTTATATAAAAAATAGATTACACAAAATTTAAGATAAAAACATATTTGAAATACAAATCAAGTTACCTATGTCTAATGCTCAGAATCATTGAGTTATATTGTTTATAACTTTATTGATATTTACATCTGTTTAGTAAATTGTAACCTGTTTCTCCTTCAATTGTAGTTTGGACAGATAGGAGTTGGTGACAATTTTGATCGTTCCTCTCCTGAGCAAGTGAAATTTCCACATGATCAGGTACTTGAAACTGCAACACCCATCTTCCCTTTTCTTTCTTTTGGAAAATTCTGACAGTGTATAATGATGACTCACTATTTTTTATTTCTGCGCAATTTTGTTTCGGTCGGAAGAAAGTAGTTCAGATCTCATGTGGGTGGAGACACACGATTGCTGTTACTGAAAATAAAAATGTATATTCTTGGGGAAGAGGCGCAAATGGACAACTTGGGCATGGAGAAACCGTTGACCGGTAATTTCATGTGCAAGTTACATCCAAAATATTTACAAATGCACACACGTGTGTGTGTGTTGTGTTTGATTTATCAATTACACATTCAACACCACTTTAATGCTTTATCTCTTTCAAATTTTGCTGTTGTCTTGTCACTTAGGATATTTTATTTTATTTGGTCGAATTAAGCTATTCATGTGTTAGCAGTGATGTTAACTTATTGATTCAAAAAATGCCTTTTTTTGAACAAATTAATTGCTTCATTCTAATTTTTAACATCATCAATTTTTAACTTATTGATTCAATTTTTTTATCTAAAAAAAGCAGAAGTCAAAAGTCAATTTTTTTTTTCAAAAACTAAATATTTTTATATAAATATAAATAACTTTAACTTTTATAAAAAACACTTCTAAAATAAAGAAGAAATAAAAGCTACTTTTTCTAACAAACTGGCTCTATATATCTTGTAAAATATGGATTAAGGATCTTGGTCATGAAGTCGCTCTCGTGATTGTGGTCTTGGGTGGCTTTACCACTCATGAAGTATGTGGTTAAACTGTGACTAAAAAATGGGCTTGTAGCATACCAAAATAAAAATAAAAATGGGCTTGTAAAGAATTAGGAAAGGAAAAGGCTACGGTACATGAAAAATTACTTCGGTTAACTGGTAGAAGAAGCTTGATTTGTTATAATGGTTGAGCCATCTAGGCATCCTATTCTTTTATATCAAATTTAATCTTTTCAGTCTTGGCTATCAGAATATAGGTTTGAAGTGCTTTTTTTTTTCTGCTGCAAAAAGTTGGTTGTTAATTGTTATGGCAACATGGTGGAACTATGACTTTGTTTGTTCATTTAAGCATAAGAGATAAGTTGCTGGTCTACTCACTAACCGAAAATAACCTATGACTTTGTTTGTTCATTTATAGGAATGTTCCAATGATTATTGAGGCCTTCAGGGTTGATGGATCTTGTGGGCAGCATATTGAATTCTCAAAAGCTTATCCATTATCAGGTGCTCTGATTGGCTTATTTGTGATGTGTTCCTTTTCCTTTGCCATTACTGATATATAGCATTTGATAGTGTAATTTAGAATCGTTTTTTTTTTATCTTGAATAATTTAGCATGATTCTGGATGTTTTTTTTTTTTCTTCCTTGAACAGGGAAATCCTCGGCCTCCCTATCAGATAGATATGCTGTTGTTCCAAATGAAACTGTAAGTGTCTTGTTTTAGTATACTTACTCATAATTACTGGAGTTAAGGGAGATTAGCATATGTTGGGGATAAAATAGATCTTTGATCAGTTTTGTTTGTTTGTTTGCAAACCTAGAAAGAAAAGGATTATGTATTGCTGTGATGACTATCTATATTATGAGAACTTTATAGTGCACAAGGTCATTTCATTTGGCTTGGTCTGAGGGCTAGGAACTTAGAAAAGCAGATGGTTGCTGACTTGGCACATGTTTGGTTTTGCTTAATTTTTCCACCAAAACAGTTTTTCAGCCAAAAGTTCTCAGCATTTTAAATATTAACTCTTCTAAACATAAAATAAACTAATACAATCACAAAACTTGGTATGATTTGGCAGGCCTCGGGACAAGCAACTAATTCAGACTGGGGAGATAGACTTGATGCCAGTGTTCCTGAAAGTGATGTCAACTGATAGCAGCCCAATAATTAATGAGTTCAAGAGATTAGGATGAGTATGTGCGTTAGTAATAAAAATGTATTGAGTGTTTTGTTATGAGTATGGGTGGTTATGATGACTGTGTATGTTGGTTGTGTGTATTGGGTGTAAGGTGTTATATGATAAGTGAACATATGGCTCCGAACTGAATATTAAACAGTTAGTTAGGAGTTGGGAAGGAAAGGGAATGAAGGGGATCATGAGAGAGGGAATGGAAGGAAAGGAAAAAAATTGGAGGGTATTCTCTTCTTTTCTTTGGGAGTTAAAAAAAGGTAAGAGAGGAAAATAGAAGGTTAATGAGATATTTTTACCATTTTACTTTATTTTTAAAATAAATATAATTATTATATTTTACAACTTAAATTAAATTTAAAAATTCTAACAAAATTATTTATGTACCTTTCACAATACTAAAAAATCATATTTTTGACGAAATTTCTATGTTGCAAACGAAGAAAATTTCGTCCCAAAATTATTTTTTCATCGAAAAGCGAAGAAATTTTTTCGCCGATAAAATTTTTCACAAAGATAAATTTTCTATCAAAATTTAGTTTTCGTCAAAAGTTTTGACAAAAATAATTTCCTCCATCAAATGCTTTAAACGAAAAAACAATTTCGTCAAAAAATTTGACGGAATGTTTTCCATTCAAAATTTTGATGGAAATGTGTTCTGACAAAAATTTCGACGGAAATTGTATTGTCAAAATTTTTGAGGGAAATGTTTTATTAGAAACTTTCGACGAAATTTAGATTCTGTAAAGAATTTTGACAGAATATTTTTTCCGTCAAAATTGTTTATCGAAATATTTTTCGTCAAAATTTTTTACGAAAATATTTTTTGTCAATTTTTTTTGACTGAGATGGGTTCTATTGAAAATTTTGATGAAAATGTGTTTTACCAAAAAACTTGACGAAAATATTTTTCGTCGAAAATTTTCGATAGAAATTTTTTTGTCAAAAAATTTAACGAAAATGTTTATGTCGAAAATTTTCGACAAAATTTAAATTCTGTAAAGACTTTTGATGAAAAAAAATTTCTTCAAAAATTTTCAAGGAAAATATGTTTCGTTGAAAATTTTGACAGTAATATTTTTCATCCAAAATTTTGATGAATATGCTTTTTTGTGAAATATTTTGACGAAATTTAGATTTCATAAAAAAATTTGACAAAAAAAATTTTCCTCAAATTTTTTTACAGAAATGTATTTGGTCACAAATTTTGAAGGAAATAATTTTCGGAGAAAATTTTTGCGAAAAATTTTGTTGGAAATGTTTTCCATAAAAAAATTTGACGTAATTGTTTTACGTCGAAACTTTTCGATGGAAATGTGTTTCACCAAAATTTTGGACGAAAATATTTTCGTTGAAAGTTTTGACAGAATTTAGATTCTATCAATAATTTTGACTGATTTTTTTTCGTAAAAAATTTATGTCACTGATTATGGCAAAATCTGGTTCCCTCTCTAATTTCGTCTTTAGTTTTGACGGAAATTTTTTGACGTATATGATTTTCATCAAAAAATTTATCATTATTTTTGACGTAATATTTTTCGTCGATAAATTCTGTCGGTATTTGAGTCTTTTATAATAAGGTCACATTTAAAATTGATTCACATTTATGTAGTTTTCACATTTTAATACTAAGGGTAGATTAGTAATTTTTAATATTTTCCCCTTCAAACCTCCCAAATTGGGAGAACTTTAATTTTAAGAAGAATGAGGATTTTGGAGGGTTTGGTAAAAATCCTGAATTCCTTCCGCTCATTTTTTTAACTCACAAATAAGGGAAGGACTTTCTAAAACTCTTCATTTCCATTCCTTCCTCTCCTAAAATCAACTCTCAAACAAAGCTTAAATGAACTGCTCAAAGCCAAATAAATTCTTATTTTGTGGAAAAATAATTAAATATGTAGTTAGACAAATCTTTAAAAGGTGGCCTCAATAGTTTACGAAAAAAAAAAAAAAAGTGGCCTCAATAGTTATATAATGCTTCCCGAACATGTAAGAATTGGTACTCTTCATATCCTTTGGTTCAATAAGGTGGGGGAGGTGGTCAACAGACTCAACACTACACCTATGATGCAATGACATTTCAAAAAATATAATGTGTAGTGTCTAATATTTTTTTGACACTCCAATTAAGGGTGTTAACGGGCTGAGCCGAGCCGAGCTTTGATCTTAACGGGCCAAGCCTGTATTTAAACGTGTCTGACTGGCCTTAGCCTGTTACCTGTTACGAATATAATATTGGTCTGTGGCCTGATTTATTTACAAAAAATAAAAGCCTGTGTGAAGCCTGTCTTAGCCTGTTAGCATGTTAAAGAATAAAAATAAGAGAACAGAATTCCACAAAAAATCAATTTCCAAATAGAAACCTTAGCTTCCAATTTACAGCAATAATTTACAAAGTATACAATAAATAAATAAAATTAAAGTGAGAGAAGGTAGATAACAGGTTATATTATCTTAGCCCATTATAAAAAAAGTGCCAACAAAAAAATAAAATAAAAAAATAAAAAATAAATAAATTGACACAAACGAGCAGTGCACAGTGGACCGAATGAGTTTTTGTGGGTTTGATTGTGTGAAGGAGGATGAAGGATAATATAGAACAGCACTAGTAATTCCATAAATATACATAAATTCAATATATATTCAAATAGCATAATATAGAACAAAATCATTCAAAAAGTCTGTTAAACCAATAAAATGGGGTGAAATAAATTGATGAGAGAGAGTTATTACAAGTAGTATAAAAAGTATAAATAAATATTTATATACTAGGCTAGCCTAGGAGACTCTAAGGCCGAGCTTCTGAATTAGAGTCTGAGGCCTTTTTATTAAACGAACTTTTATACAAGTCCAAGCCTGGTTCCAACACGAGCTTTTATTAAACGAGCTCAGGCCTCTACGAGCCGAGTCAAAGGCCCCTGGCTCGTTTACCGCCCCTAACTCCAATATATGTTGTAAAGATTTAAAAAATGATTTAAAGGTTGTGTTGCGTTTTTAGTTTCAACTATTAGATTTGTTGGATTAAGATTATCATTTTATTGAATTTAATATAAATATTTGTAATATCTGATGTTTCTTTGCAAAATTAATGAGTTTTATAAGTTTTATTTTTTTTTTTTTTTAAATTATTGAATATTAAATATAATATATATTACATAAATTAAAAATATTATTTAATATTAAAACGTGTATTAACGCGTCAAAATTTAATATTTTTTAGAATTAATGTATTGGAGTGTCGTGTCGTATCCCGTGTCCCATGTTGGTGCAACATAGGTCAACACATCTAGATTTTGGTTACTACTTTTTTTTTTGAGATATTTCAATCGGTTCATCACTTCGCGACTAGTCCGATTTGAGACGGATATCAGGATTAAGGCTTTAAACTCCTCTCATATATATATGATTATATATATGTATATAAATATGGTTATATTTATCTCATTTTGCATGAAAATAAACAAATTTTCTACGCATACAAAAGAAGGGTGAGTCACACCTTTTTTTTCTTTGTCTCCTCTTACCTGTGGGTTCCACTTTTAATTTTGTTTCTACAACATGATATAATCATTTTCCTACAACATAAGAAGATTATTTCTCATATATATATGTGTGTGTGTGTGAATTTCCTTGTGCACTGAGTGCACATTATATGATATGATATTATTAGCTCTGTGAGGATTATGTTTCTGTAGACTCTTATCATCTTTGTGCGGTTTATGTGCCCAGAGACTCTTATTATCTCTGTGCGACTTATGTGCCTGGAGACTCTTATTATCTTTGTACAACTTATGTGCCCGGCGGTATTGAGAAGAATCGAACACACGCTCTCACCTCTGCCTCTTCAAATTTTTGGTGCCAACTGAGTTACTATCATTTGGTGATATAATGTATTTTATTGTAATAATTGTCAATGACATCGTTGTTGTTGTTTTTTTCTTTTGAGATACAATGACATCGTTTTCTAGTTCTTTTTTGTGATAATAAATTTTGACATGTTAGTAACCTAATTTTAAAACTATGATTAAAAAAGTTATTGATAAGTTGTTAACAAAATCTAAGTAAATTACTAGCTACCAAACGAAGATATATAAATAATGCGAATATTGCTTAGCAACTATAGGTTATACTTATCTCATTTAATATGAGATAAATTAAATTTCTACACATATATAATAAAGGTGGGTCCCATTTTTATTTTTTCTCTGTTTAATTATTTGTAGGTCTCTCTTATAATTTTATTTCACTAACATAAAATAACCCATCTCCAGTAACATAAGAAATACATTTTCCAGCAACTAGTAAATGCCTTTGCCATTAAGATAGAGAAAAAATAAATCTTTTTAAATTTTTTTTATTGATGTGACTTTTGGTTAGGGTAGCAAGTTGTGCCATTAAAATATGTAACAAATGAAAGTTATGTTGGAACAAATCTTGGGTGCCATCATCCATAGTCATCACAAGGTTCAGATTTGGAAGGATACTATGTCAGTATATATATATATATATATTTATTCTAAGCGTCTATGTCTTCATTAATTATTTGTGAGATATTCATTGATTTTTAGTTATATTATATGTGTATTTTAAATATTTACTGCAGAAAGTATTAATCAACTTATCAAGAATTTTTATACCCTAAAATATAAACCTAAACAAATATGATATAAATCCTTGATTTCTCATAAAACCTAAAGATTAGAAGTCACCTAAAATAACCAAAGTAATGAATTTGATTTCCTTTCGTACTGTTTGTGAAAATGATATTCCTCCAACCACCTCTCTTTTTTCTCATGGGTGAAAAATGGTTTTGTTGGCAACGATGGTTCGCCAAAGATTTTCGGATCATCCTGAATGAGCCATTTGAATATTGGATGGCTTTTGTTGGTGTGGCAAAAATATACTATGGACGCAAACAAAAGTAGACTGTTGTGTTTATCTGAATAATGCTACTTGTTCAACACAAGCAGACTATCACTTACGTACAACAATTTGATCGGCATGTTGGGCATAATCTCTCAACAAAATTAGATACTATGGAGATTGATTCGAAATGTTCAAATAAATATATAATAATAATAATAATAATAATAATAATAATATCGGCTCAATCATAGTTGTCAAATAATTTAGCTTATAGGAAGATGTATATTAAATTTGATTTTTTTTATCATAAAGTTTAAATTTGATGAATAATCAATATACAACTTTTAACACTGTTATTTAATAATGTTCTAATAGATATGAAAAAAATTATATATTTTATATAATAAATCTAATAATCTAATCATAAACACATAAAAATTAAATATTGCGAGAGAAAAGTTTGTCCGATGCAGATACAAGTTCGTGTAGGGGCCGTAATAGAAAAAGAGAGAGACAAACGTGTTTTTCAATACAGAGTTTTTCTTTATTCAACAAGAGGAGGGTTATATTTTCTATTATTATTAGAGGTGGTAATATGTTATAAGATTCGTTTTTTCTACGTTAATGTAGATAATTTATCTACAGTGAGTTTAAAATAATGTTGTTTTGAGACGGGAATCAAGATATTTTTGTAATTATTTATTTCAGGAAGATAATAGTCTTTTTCATTATAATTTTTTAATTTTTCAACTTAAAATGATATCGTTTTGGGAGCGGATGTAGATAACTTATCTACGTTCACTTTAAAAATATTAAAGCCTATATTATATGGATTAAACATTACAAGCCAACCCCTTCTATCAAAATTGGTCAGGTTGGGTTGAAGTTTTCAACCTATCAACCCACTTCAACCCGTCCCGTCTAAAAGTGGGTCAAAATGAATTTAATCCGTCTTGGGGCGGGTTGACTCTCCAGTTATAATTATTTTTATTTTTTATTTTTATAATTAAATAGTATTTTATTTGTCATTAAATTTGTGTGATATTCAATTTGTTTTCTTAGTACTCTAGAAAAAATAAAGAATAAGAATTTTATTTATGATAAATGTTATCTATATATGAAGACAAACGAGTTGTTAAAGAATATTTAACTGAATATTAATATCATTTAACATTAAGACTAGAAAAAAATTAAGAGAAGTGTGAAATAAAATAAAATATATTAAAAAAATTCATAAAATATAATTTATTTTTGAATTATAATTAATTTTTTAATTTACGGATTGATGGGTTGCTCCGCCAACCTGCCAACCAAACATAAAACGAGATGTATTCATTTTTTCAACTCATATTTAATGGTTGACTAATCCGCCCCATCCTATTTTGGTTGGTCGGGCACGGACTAACCCATATTACCAACCCTAATTATTATATTGTTAAAAATTTATCCATCAATTATTTAAATGAATATCCTTTCAATTATCTAAATGAAAAAAATTACTAATGATTAAAAGAATATGATATTGTAACAACCAATTAGAGTTACTACCAATCAATTTCATTGTTAGATCATCATGTTAATTCAACGATTATGTTTATTTTCATCTTTGTATAAAGTATTAAACATGTGGAATCATAATCATATAAATATGAAAATAAATATACCGCTACATCAATATAATCAATCTAACAGTAAAATTGATTGATAATAACATTAATAATAATCCTAATTAGTTGTTAGAATATCTATCCCATTATTAAGAGTAATTGACAAAGTTAAAAATTAAAACAAGGTTTATGCAGATTCTCCAACAAGGCAAGAGGAAGGAGGAATCAAAGGCCCCATAACCTGCAACCAGGTGAGACAGATTCTCTCAAAGACCTCACCGCATGCCTTATCCACCCTCACACACCAGATCCCTACTCCTTCTTCTTCTTTCAATTTTCCCTCTTTTCACTTCTCAATTCTCCAAATCTCTACCCAAATTCATCGCAATCGCCACCCAGCCATGAACGATTTCGATGGCCTCCTGGCTTCCGATTTTGGCTTCAAACCACAGGGAAAATCGGCTCCAATGGCTCCTCCACCCAAGGGATCTTCCAATCTCAAATTCGATTTCGGATCGCGATCCAATTCCCTCCATGCGGATTCCATATTCGGATCCTCCGGTACCCGCAAGAACCACGATGCCGACGGTTTCGGGGATCTGTTCGCCGGCGGCGGATCCGAACGTCGCGGAGCTGATGCGCCGTTCAATTTGGATTCCGCGTATAGCAGGGCCGACGGTGATTTCGGTTCCAGGTCCGCAAATTCGCCGCCGCCGGTGTACGACAAACCGGTATACGACGACGACATTTTCGACGGCGTTCCTGGCTTGAAGAGCACGACCGCTAAGGTTAAATACAATGATGTCTTTGCGTCGTCGGCGACTCCGGAAGGTGGTGTTGGCGCATTTGATGATCTTCTTGGTGGGTTTGGTAGGCAATCGAAGAGTTCGGGTGGGAAGAGATCGGAGAAGGATAATAAAGGTGTTCCTGATTTTGATGATTTACTAGCTGGATTCCGAAGCAGTAAGCCATCTGGTGACAGGTATATATGTTAACATTGGGGTTTTTTTTTGGTAACTGGGGATTCTTTTGCATTTGTCAGCATTGTTCAGTAGTGGCATTCATGTCTTTACTCAATGCGCAAGTATATGTATGCTTTTATAGCTCTTTACCATTTAGGGCAGCCATTTTGGGTCAGAGAGACCTGAGATTTCGTTATCTGTGGGAAAACCTATTCAAGTTTTTATGCTGGAAAGGTCAGTGAGAAATGATAAAAGTAACTATATTAAATTCGCAGGGGGGAAATCCAGACAGGCTACAATGAGTTTAAAATTCTGCACTCTTTACATTCACAGATATGTTTGGATGTAACATACCCTAAATTACATGTTGATTGGAAGGGAAAAAAGCTTTTTACAAATATTGATTAGTAATGAGCTCCTTTAGAGAGTCAGGTGATTTTCGAATAATCAATGGTAAAATAATTGTGTTTGAATTTAAGATAAAACAAATAATTGACAATAATCTTCCTGAAATTTAAGTTGTCTATGTATCTATACTAGATCGTCTAAGGACGTTAACGCAATTTCTCCCTGGAGACCATCGACACATTCTAATACTTTGTTCCCTTGAATGTAAATGTCGGCCACTGCTATTTACCAAACATGTTGGAAAGTATTATTTGTCAGCTGGGATCAGAAATCCCAGATTTAATTCACCCAAATCATCAAAAGAACATATGGTTCTTGTTTGAGTTTTGAACCTTTTTGCCCTTTAAGGTTGACCTTAGCTGTTTGGAACTTGGAGGGAACTATTCTGGAATATGCCTATAGGGCTGACTTGGAGGTCGTGGTGGTGGTCTTTTCACTGTTTTGGCAAGGGGCTATGCTCTACTATGTATTTAATGTATCAATGTATTGCAAACTGTTTGTCTGGGAGTGAAGATTCTAGTTTTTTTTTTCTTGGAGCTCACTACTGTATATCATGGATGTTTCAAACACATTGGATTTCTGCATTTTGTAATTACAGTCTTAAGTTATTGTTCATGTGATATCAGTGTTTTGTGTAATCTATCTGGTAGATATTTAAGTGGGTATAGCACAGCTTGAAAGTAAGGTTCAATAACTTTAGTTATACTTTTCTTCACTATTATTTGGATTTGATGTTGTAGAAGGAAAGAAGGAAGGTATAGCGATGATCCATTCCTGTGATAGTCTTTGGCCCTGTAGAATTGGACTGAAAGAGCGGAAAAAGGATAAGTTTTAATTTGAATTTGTGAACCCGTGATTGTACTTGCTTAACATTAATGGAAGAAGTGTATTTATAACCATTTTTTATTCATTTTTTGTTCTAAGGTAAAACTAAAAAAAAGGTGGAAATGAGATGTGTGGATATTAAGGTGGATGTGTAGTCATACAAAGACGTATAAGATAAGAAATAAAGATATTCAATGAAAAGTTGGAGAAATAGTGGTGACATTGAAAAGATGTGAGAGCATAGATTAACATGGTTTTAGATGCTTCGACAAGAATAGAAGTTTTTTTATCAAGAGCATGTCATAAAGAAATGAAGAGGTCGGCCGAAACTTTCTTGCGGCAAAGTATTGAAACAAGACTTAATGGAGTGAGAAATATATATGTTTGCGGTTTGTCTTAGGAAGGAATGAAGGAAAGTTATTAGCATTGTTTTTTTTTTTTATTGGAATATGTGCTATTAACTCTTCCTTCTTCTTATTCTTGCTCTGAAAAAATATAAAAAATTAATTTTGATTTTTGATTCTTTTGCTATGCTTTTATTTATTATACATATATGTATTATTTTTCTTATTTATTATTATTTTTTTCTTAATTTGTTCTTATTTCATATTGGTTTATGGACTGCCGACCCCAACTAATTTGGGATAAATGTGACATTGTTGTTGTAAAAAATGCATATCAACTAAATGTCCCCTGTTGATCGTTGGTGTTCCCTTTCCTTTTAACTCCAAACAATCTCTTTAGTTTGTATGCTGGAACTTGCATAATTTTGTTCTGTCGAGGACAAATTTCTATCTGTTTTTTATTTCTGGTTTGTTGTTTAGATGCATAATACATCCATGCTAGAAACATAGATGGTAATTTAATTTTAATATTAAAAAGGCATATGCAACTTGGAACAAAGACTTCCCACTTCTTTCTCCCTTTTCTATTTTATTTTGTGAATGAAAAATATGTTTTTAAATAGCTGCAGTGTAGATGAATGCGAGTAAAATGGATAACACAAATAGGAATACTTTTAAAAGGAGAATGTGTTAAATTAAAAGCTCTTTAGTCCTTTTTGTGAAATACAGCCTACATCAATTTCAAAATGTTTTCTGTGAAAATTTTGTCTTAACATTTACTGTGAATCTCTAACTCTTTAGAGTTATTTTGTGAGATAAGTAGAATGAATTATCTTTGATGACTGATTGAGGGATGTTGTTTATTATGTCATTGATTGATGTATCATAATTCATAATCATTTTTACATATTGTTATTAACAGGCACGCCCCTGATATCGGTTTGTCCTCAGGACCAACTGCCAATGTATCTAGAACAACCTCCACTGCAGCTGAAGACCCTTTCAAAGTATTTGAATCAGCTTCAGTCCCAATGGATTCGCCCACAGGCCACTTTACGGACCCATTGGAAGAAATTAGTAAATTTAGTAGTTCTAGAAGAACCAAAAATGATAGTTTTTCAACTTCAAATGGAAGAGTTCATGAAGATATTGATCCCTTTGATGGGCTCGGAAAATCTGTACCAGCATTCTCATCAGAGAGAAGTAGTAGGAAGGGTAGTAGTTCTCCAAGGTTGAATACAAGGACTAGCTGGGCTAGAGATAAAGAACCAGTTGAGAAGTTGTCTGGGAGGAGTCCTGAGAGGCACTCACAAAACAAGATTCCTGTTGAAAATGATCGGGAGTTTCCGCAGGCCCCATTTTATGTTCCCACATATTCATCTGATTCTAATAAGTCAATGGGCCAAAGGTCTACTTCCCCTCCATTTGATAATGTTGGTTTTAGACAAACCAATATTCAGGTAGATATGTCTCCAAAATATGAAGAAAACTTCGAATCAAATGACGATGTATGGCTGACGGTATCAGAGATTCCTCTCTTTACACAACCAACTATTGCTCCACCACCTTCAAGACCCCCTCCTCCACGGCCAGTACATATTCCCAAATCAGGAACTGGTTCAGCTGCTTCTATCAATACTAGAAAGAATGCTAATGAATATTCTTCTTTCCCAAGTTCCACTCGATTCTCTCATGTTCCCAAGTCTGCTCCAGCTGCAGCAAGGGTATCCCCTGCATCTCAATTTGATGAACTTGATGATTTTGCCATGGGCAGAAATCATGGTAATGATGATGAGAGTAAAAATGGTCTTCCTAATGAAGAATTAGAGATGAACTCAGCTGCTGCAGCTATGAAGGAGGCAATGGTTAGAGCTGAAGCTAAATTTCGGCATGCAAAGGAATTTAGGGAGAGAGAGTATGCAAAGTCTGCTAGAAGCAAAGAACCTGTGCAATTGGAAAAAGATGAGAGAGCTATGCTAGAGGAGAGAGAAAAACAGGAAAGGTTAGACCGTGAGCGGCAGAAAAAGGAGAGGGAGGAAAAGGAGCAAAGAAGACTAATGAGAGAAAGGGAAGAGAAGGAAAGAGAACAACAACGATTGGAGAGGGAAAAGGCAAGACAAGCTGTAGAAAGAGCTACTAGAGAAGCACGTGAAAGAGCAGCTGTTGAAGCACGCCAAAGAGCTGAAAGGGCTGCTGTTGACAAAGCTAATACTGAAGCTCGAGAGCGTGCTGAAAGGGCTGCAGTGCAAAGGGCACAAGCTGAAGCCCGAGAAAGGGCTGCTGCAGGGGCAAAGGAAAGAGCTGAAAAGGTTGCTGCAGAGGCAAAGGAGAGGGAAACACGGGAAAGAGCTACAGCTGCAACGGCTGAAACTGAAGCACGAGTTAAAGCAGAACGTGCTGCTGTAGAAAGGGCTGCTGCTGAGGCCCGAGAAAGGGCTGCAGCTGCTGCAAGGATGAATCAACAAAATGCAAGAATGAATCAACAAAAGAATGAAAATGATCTTGAATCCTTCTTTGGCATGGGTGCACAAGCCAGTAGTGCTTCAAGGCCTCCTAGGGCTAACTCTTCAGTGAGAACCTTTTTTTTCTTTCTTTCAATTCTATAGTTCTATATCGACATATAATGGTTGAAACTTGGCTTTGGCATTTGGTGTCTTCCTATCCTGCAAAATTAATTTTTAAAAGCAGGAAGTTATAGTTAGTGGGTAGTTATTTTATTCTTTCCTTTTTTATTCTAAATAAAAGTGAAATTTGTTATAAAAAAATGACAACTGTATATTTATGGTAGGTATTTAAAAATTTAAAATTGTGTATTATTTAAATAAAATTAAAACAAAAATAAAAAGGAAGATTAACATGCGTGTTAACACTAGTATGATTCTATTTGAAATTTGGTAATTAAATTTCTGAACCTGTATGTTTTCAGGACTCTGTATTTGAAACCCAATTTCAGTCAGATGTAACAAGGAAATCTACAGGTACATCTTCAAGTATGAAGAAAGCTTCATCATCCACTAATATTGTTGATGATCTTTCCTCAATCTTTGGAGGTAGGTTTCAATTTTCAATATATTGATTATTGAAACAATAGTAGTGTACAACTTTGTGTTTGTGTCATTGTCATTGCTTACTTGGCTCTTTTTATCCCTTCTCTTGTATGGTTTGAAGCTGCTGCTCCATCTTCTGGAGCGTTTCAGGAAGTTGAAGGGGAAAGTGAAGAAAGGCGAAGAGCCAGGTTGGAACGCCACCAGAGGTCTCAAGAGCGTGTGGTATGCGTTATTGCGTTACTGTATTTGTCTCCTTATTTTGATTTCTTCATTGTTTATTAATAGTTCATACAAAGAATAGGTGAAGAATGCACTGTTTTTGAACCAACTTGACATTGGATCTATGTGGAGGTGTCAAGTGTCCATTCATACAAAATCGTTATTGACTTATTTGTCTATGTTATGACCATTAACATTTTATACTAGGCAAAAGCATTGGCTGAGAAGAATCAGCGGGACTTACAAACACAAAGAGATCAAGCTGAGAGACACGTAAGTAGTTTCTTTTGCTTTTTTTCTTTTTATTTGCACCTGAGGGGTTTTCTGTTCATATACTTACATCACTGCATAGCCAAAAATTGTTTTGCAAAAGCCACTAAATTTATTGTAATCTAATGTTGATTTTGTTATCTAATATTATCTGTGCATTGTTTTCAGAGGGTTGCTGAAACACTGGATTCTGAAATTAAGCGGTGGGCTGCAGGGAAAGAGGGGAACTTACGAGCTTTGCTCTCCACCTTACAATATGTAAGCACTTAGTGTACGCACTCTGAATACTGTCTTAATGTTTTATATTCCAGATCCATATTATGCCCCATGAGTATGTGGGGCATAAATTATCTCTTTAAATTCTTCTTTTGAAATTCTTGGGTCCAAAATCTGATATATAGCATGGAGGAAATGTGTTTTTGGATATATTTTCTCTTGTATCTTGTCTGATGATCAAGCTACCACCCTAGGGTTAGAAGTGAATACATGTGCTGATTGTATAGGTTTTAGTTGCTCTGCTCATTAAAGGTGCAACCACTATATCTATTTCCTGTAATGGATACTATCCATAGTAGCAATTTCTGATGAGATGTTAGCTAGTAGAAGACATCCTTAGGAAACAAATTTGATTTTGAAAGATTGTTATGATGTGCTCATATTTCAATTACAGTCCATCCAGAGGAGAGAAGATTCAAAGCAACTTGTTTCCATAGTTTTTATACGCTCTGAAAAGTTCATGCATTTGAATTTTGAAGCAGCTAAAATGCTCCCTTAATTTATGGTGTTTTTAAGGTGTTGGTATTTGTTACAGAATTTGTGTCAATTATATATTAACTTGTTTCCTTAACGAATGATGATCAGGTGTTGTGGCCTGAATGTGGTTGGCAGCCTGTTTCTTTGACTGATTTGATTACAGCGGCCGCTGTTAAAAAAGCCTATAGGAAAGCTACATTGTGTATTCATCCTGATAAAGTGCAGCAGAAAGGTGCCACTCTTCAGCAGAAATATATTGCAGAGAAAGTTTTTGATCTACTCAAGGTATTTCTGCGATTAAACTTGACTTCTATATGCTCACTAATCAGTGCTGTATAAAGAAAGATGAAATTATTTATAGTGGCCAGTGGCAATTAATGGGTTTCTGAATGTAGATTATGTTATGTTACTTTTATTCTTAGCAGTTTTAAAAGTGGGTTTTTACATAGCATTTTGTTGTCAAATTCTGTGTATGTAAGACAGGATTTCCAATAGCTATAATTGTATCACAAACGAGTAATAGCTGGATGGACTCTTCTGAGTTCTATCATGTGCTGCCTTTGCGATTATTAGTTTCTTTGTTGTTTGTTCTCATCTTGATTGTTGGATTTTAGGGTATTCATCCTCTGTCTGTGATGGTTTACTCGATTCCTCATCTCTATCAATCTTTTTTCAGCTTAGAATCTTAGTTGTTTTTGAGTTCTCTTGAGTTAGTTTTAATATGTTGTTGAAATGGGTATATGGTGAGAAATAAGATTGTGGATTTATCCTGAAGCATTGGCCTAGTCTGTTGATCTTGTATCTTGGAGCTTTATATGTTATTATTTTCTTAAAAATGTTAAATTGAACCAAACTTTCCGGCTTTTCCCTTTCCTTTTCTTCATTTGCTTTGGAGTTGTTATAAGGCATTCAACTACAAATAGATAAAGTGATAAAAGTAAATTTTATTAAATGAACTAAAGATAACTCACTGAGTTTTCTGTTTTAGTCCACAACGTATAACGTCTGTCTCTTAGTAGTTGTATATGATGTCCTGATTTAACAACCCAACAGATGAACAATGATTTAAAATTTTGGTGGAATTGTGTTAACAGTAAACCTTTCTGTTTGTGCACTAAACCAACAAGAATTTAATTTGATATCATTTATCAAAGTTGAGTCCCACCATGCAGAATTTATCAAGTTACTGCATCTGCATTTCCCGCTGGTCCAATATACAAACTGAGTGACTAGATAGCTTTGAAGCAACTAGATGACTAGTTACTTCCGATTAACTATACTATAGGAAAGTTAGTAAACATTAAGGTGGTTCCATCTTATACTCTCCAAAGTCAGGAAAAGAAAAATAGACATATTAGATGGAAATCAGGTTTCATTCCTTTTCATCCTATTTTAAACCATCCAATCAATGACAACTTATGTGATTTCATTTCATCCCTTTTCCATCAATCAATCATAGGTTCAAGCATGGTTTGATCTCATGAGATCTCTAACATATAAATCATTTGCCAAAAAAGTGGGAGTTGCATTTTGTTGTCAGCTATTCGCAATGTCATTACCTTAATATTTTTTCTTATGTATAAGTTAAAAAAATGGCTTGACATGACTCAAGACTATAGTATACTATATTGCTAAGTCCATAATACAATGCCTTCGTTTTTGCCTTACAGTTTGATAATTTATATGATAACAGGAATCCTGGAATAAATTCAATTCTGAGGAGCTTTTCTAATTTTTGATGAATTTATCTACTTCAAGGCAGTTTGTTCAACGATTCTGTTCATAGTGGACTTCAGTCCTGTTTCAGCTGCCTCCGATTGCATATTTGTTTTGATTGAAGTTAAAACGCATTGAAGGTGAAATATTGCTTCCTTGTCTGGCTTCTCTTGGGTGTAATTGATGTTCTTCCAGGGGGTGCTGGGTTTTTGCAGATGTGTTTATTAATGTAGCATGTTTTGTTGATGTAAATGCCCATCTATCAATTTTATTATTCATTATCCCTTTTTATTGAGGGCCCACGAGCTTTTTATTTTTAAGGGAGAGACCCACCTGGAAGCGGGGGTGGGTCCTGTGAAGCCTCTTTTTTACCTGTGATATAGTTCAATCTCTTGAAATATATACCAGTTTGTGGATGGACAGTAAAAGCTGAGATTTATACATGGATCTTCGCACAACAACTTCATTTTATGCATTTAAAATTGTTGGGAATCAACGGGGTTTCGTTGAGCTTGTTCATCTATTTTTGTACGATGCTGGGAACGCAGTCGTGAGTCCAGATACTACTGGTGATTTTTTTTTTTATTTTTTTTTAAGTAGAGTTAACGTATACCAGAAGGGTCAGGCAAACACTCAACCTCTTTACATGAAATACTTTTGTATATTTTTCATTTGTCCAGGATAAGTTCTGTATAGTTAACTATATCCTTTGTACATATGGTGGTAGCGTAGTTGGTAATAAGATAGCTGAGTAAGTGGAAAGGAAAAGATCTCAGTTTAGTTTTTACATGCCATCTTTGGGAATGATTTAAATTTTAAATCTTCATTCTTGATTCGTTTTGTATTCCGGATTAATTTCATAGGCAGCTTAAAAAGTCAAAATTTGTGAGAATATAGGGGAGAGTTAACTTGTCTCAACAAGATAATTAGGATTGAATTAATTCAAAAAAAAAAAAAAACACCTACTTCTTTTTGTACATAATTCTTGTCGAGCGCATAAAGCTCCATGTTACTTTGTAAAATGTTAGCCAAAGCTCTGATATCTATTTAAATAAAATTAATGTAAAGTTTAAACTTGATTTGTGTAGGGATATGAAACTTATATAAACTTGACTTGTTTATTTTTGTTACATTCATTTTCAAATATATTTTAAATTTATTAATGTAATATTTAGTATTTTTTGTGTATAGATATCAATCCTAATTATCTTTTTTAGACGAGTAGATTTCTCCGGCTATTTTCGTAAGCTTTAATTCTTTGATGCGACTGTGACAATAGTGTGGAATGAGTTGAGGATTAAAGTTTTATATATTTTCTCAAGATGGTATTGATGGGGATTGAACCTTCTTTACTTAGCTTTATTGCACCAACTCAACTTCTACATCACCATTCTGCCCAACTAAACTACTCTACTTAACACTAGGTCGAATACGAGTAGATCGCTTAGCCACACTTCATAATTGGAAAAACAAACACTGGAAATACATGCCACTCAGTCAAAGAAAGACGATAGAAAGAAATTCCTTTCTCTTTTAAGCTTCGGTTTTCGCCAGTAAAAAATACACATTCATGTGATGTTTTTTTATGGTACATTTAGTGTATATCTTTGTACAAAAGAGAAAACATAAATAGACAGTGAAAATTTCTGAGCATAAAAACTAGGTCAGTAATATATAAAAAATAAAATTATAAAAGTTAAAATTATAATTTACTAACTAACAGTAATATATATTACTATTTATATTTATTTTGTTGAAAATAATGTTTTGACATTGAATATATATATATATATATATATATATATATATATATATATATATATATATATATATATGTGAGAGTTATTTATGAGTTTTTAACATTGAGTTATAAAATTAGAATTTGACTGATTTATATAATTAAATTTGAATTTATTTGTTAGTAAAATAATTAAGTTTTATCGAATATTTAATGGGTCTAATACTTTTTACACGTTTTTACATGTAATTACATAATTTCATCAATCTCTTTTTACATGCAATCCAACAACTGAACGCTATAATATAAAGCTAATCGCCTAGCACATTTTTCTGGTTTATATCAATTTCGTGGAGCCAAATTAAATATTTGGAAAAGCATAATGTAATTTAGAGGAATAAAAAATCTTACATTTTATATTAAGATTTTAAAACATTACGGAAACTAGAATTCCACTAGCTCCCGCTGAATTCGTTCATATAAGCATAGATAGATAGATTGTTGTAGGTTATGTCATATATCATGTTTAAACAGGATACTTGAAGGACTTTGGCGATGAGGATGACTCATTTGTACTAACAAACCGACTACCAAACAGTGACTCATTGCCTTGTTGAAGTACTTTTTCAAGCAGTTTCCACTTTCCCATATCATCTGTTGAGTTATTTACCTTGCTTTTTTTATATATATATGTTCCATTCTTGTAAATGATGTATTTTCCTGTTGTTCTATGTGATGGTTGTAGATGTAGTGCAGCCATTTTTGGAGTGTGGACTCCGGTAAATATGAAATCTCTTATCAGAAACAAGTTGATGTTGAAACTTGAAATTGTGATGGAGTATTTTAAATAATCTCAATTATCAACATGCCTAATGAGGATGGCAGATATTGGTTATATATTTGGATACATTCAAATAAATGGTTTAAGGAAACTATTTCTTTGATTTTTCAAACAAGGATTGGCTTATAGTAATCCAATTGATCTACAAGATAATGTTACACAAAAATGAAAACCATACTGTAGTTTCTTAAATCCGCAAGGAGGCAACAGATGAAGCTTAATAGTCTGAGTGGAATGGTTTGTATTTCTTTAGGTCAAGCAAGACACCTGCCACTGAGCCAACAGCAGCAACAACTGATATTATGAGGCAGGCCAAACTAAATATTTGGAGGCTAATCCATCTGTTACTCCATTTTGGGATCTTCTTCTGTGAGATATACATCTCCACTGGAAAGAAAACAGTTAAAGGCCAAAATCCCAATGCCCCAATCACTCCCACAATGTCATTAAAGAATGGAAGCAACATTGATATGACAGTGGTTAGTATAACAAACACTGTCCTCCATACTAATCTAAACAAGTTTAGTTTGTAAGGGGGAAGACCAGGAATTGGAATTTTGAACTCCCTGTCAATGTTTGGCCATCTTTGTGCTGCCCTTTTCTCCACATAGGCAAAGATGGGTTGGGAAAACACTTGGTATGCTCCCACAAGGTGAACTACTATAGCAGCATTTGCAATGTCTATAAGCCAATATGGGTTATAGAAACCAAAACCAGTGAGCAGATTCCCAGGTGCTGCATCTCCAAAAGCAGCATAGCCCATGCAGCCACAGAGCATATAAAATGTTGTGGTCACTGCAATACTTATCTTTGTTGCTTTCTTCATTGTTTTTGCTTCAGATGGTGGAGACTTTACGGTGTCCTGTAGTCAGAATATTAGATATATTAGCTTAGGTGATATGATATATAAACCATCTTCTTTTTTTACAATGAGTTAGCTTTTTTCTGTAGTTACTGCAGATAAGCAACTAAGTCCGATACGACGTCGTTTTGGGACGGAAATTAAGGTGTTTTTGTGATCTTAATTTATTTCAGAGTTATTATAGTCTTTATAACTATAATTTTCTAATTTTCCAATCCCAAAACGACGTCTTTTGAAAGTAAATGTAGATAACTTATCTGCATTAACTGCAGAAGTAGTTTCTGTTTTACAATTTAGCTCTTAGTTTTTTTGAAGAGGAAGGAAGGTGAACCTGAATTTCAATGAGAACCACAGCATATGAATAAGCAAAGGCTATGTCACCAAGAGCTTGGGAAGTCCTCCATATCTTTTGTGTCTGTGACACAGTCCCCCCAATGCTGATTCCTGTGAGGCTACCCTTGAAAGTACCCGTTTCTGTTCATGAACCAACCAAAATATCAGCCTATATAACTAACTAACTAAATAGAAGAAAAGTCCTATGAAGCAAAATTATAAGCAGAGCATATATCTTAAGTATAACCTGCAACTTTGGCAATTCCAAGAGCAAGACCAATAAAGGAATAGGTGAAAGACATGACCGCAGCAACTGATGAGAGCCACCATATTTGATCAAAATCTGGAATTTGAGAAAGGAAAATTTCTGTTGCGCCAAAAATTATCATATATAGATTGCTTGACATGTGACATGGGTTTTTGCCCCCGGATTTATGGAAACAGTTAGACCTTTTGATTGCCCTGTCAACCAAAATAAATGAAATTAAAACATATCCCATTAATGAAATCAAAATACATATATGACCCCATTCCTATATGTTCAAAGAAATTAAATATGGTGATGGGACAATGAACTATCATGCCATGTGTTTATTTACCGCAATATGTGGCATATTACTAAAAGGAAAATTCTTATCACACTTCTCTTTTTGTCTCACATATCCCTTAGGTAGCAAAATCATAAGTGTGTGGCGAATAAGATAAGTACAGTTATGATCATATAATTAACATTATGTAAATGTGAAATAATGTGTGTGTGAGTAGCATTCTTGAAATTAAGTGTAAATCTAAACTCACGTCATGCTTATAGAGGCCGCGATTGTGTATCCTATTACTATTCCAAACAGATTCAGGTACTGGAATATCCCACACATCGCAACATTGACTCCACCTGCAAAATACATTATAGTGCATGTTATGATTCCTACAAGTATTCAGGGGAAGATCTTCGCATGGCTACTCAATTTTATTTTATTTTTTCAGTTATTTTTACAAGTGAATTGTTTAATTGAGAAAAAAAAAAACACTCTTCACACGTATTGTTTATAAATCATATGAGGCAGCTTATATTTACAAATTTTTACAAACTACACTAAGTACGACCGGTCATACTTTAATCATGCAGTGTACGACTGGTCGTACTTAGTGTAATTTGCAAAAATAAATTGTAAACGGATCCTATCCAAAATCATATATATGAACTTCTATGTAAGTTTTTTTTCTTCTCATCAATTTTTTGATTCCTTGATTTGTGTTTATCTATTCTTAGGTTAAGTAATTATACATGCACGTCCCATTTTTTTTTAAGAAGTATCGTAGCCATTAAAAGTGCTTGACTAGGTCGAACTATTTACAAAGTTAAAATCAATCAATATTGTAGCACATAATTAGATGATAGTATTTTAAAAAAATTACATTGATGATGAATAAAAATTAAATCCTATTTTTTAAGAAAAATAATAATTTTCTTTTAACATGAACATAAAATTAATGTCATATTAAATTTAAGATAACTAGTTGAATCTAGACAAAATTAATACACCCTCTCGATCTGGTGAGCATGAGTTGAATTCCCTCTGACTAGTCATCATCTATGCTCATATTAATTGTGTAGCATTATAATCTTCGCATTAGCGGAAATTTCTTTGGTGCTACGGATATGCACCATAGATTCGGTGCATCTTCCACTCATATTGTGACACGTGTTTTATTTTTGTCAAATCAATAATAAATAATTTATTTTAAAATTAGGAAAGAGAGTGATTTGATATAAAGTAAGACACGTATCACAATATAAGTGAAAGATGCGTCGAATTTTCCGTAGTACCAAAAATATTCTCTCCATTAGCATTGAAGTAACCTTCACTTACTATTGTTTTACTAGTAAATTCTCTCTCTCTTTTTTTTACTTTTTTTTTTGGTAACAGTAAATTCTCTTTTCACATATTATTTAGGTTCAACAACATAATTATTGTTAAAAAAAAAAGGTGAAAGCATTGTTACCAAGAATGGAGCGAACTGCGTCCATATAAGTATAATTTCTGGTGCCAGAATTGGGGTCGCCAGCACGGTAACAATCAGCCAGAAGAGCTGAAGTATATAAAGTAACGAAAGAGAATAACAACATGACAGCAGGACCAGCAACCCAACCTAGTTGAGCTATGGCCCATGCTAAAGACAGCACCCCAGATCCTATTACAGCTGTTATGATGTGCGAACTTGCAGTCCAAACGCTTCCTGTCTCATTTCATTATATTTCATCAGTTTAATTATTTTGATAAATTATTTATCAATTTAACGTGAGTAAAGCACATATAGAGATTATGTGCATTTAAGTCCCAATGCGAGACATGCATCCTGTCATGCTTTTAAGTGGCCCACTTATTTCATGCATTTTACATAGTGCCACAAACATATTTTGACTTTTGTACAAGGGTAAACTTTTTTTTACGCAGGAGGAATATGAATTTTTTTGTGTGCACTGACGTAGTAAATCGTGCCTCACTTTTTTCTTATTTTATTTTTATAAAATGATGGGACCCATTGTTTCTTTGTATCAGAAGGAAACTTGACATTTTTTCTGCAAAAAGAGAGAAGCAAATCCCTTTGTACAAATGGGATAATGCTCAACTTAAATGTGCATATGTTTTATAAGCATTTCACATTAAATTAATAAATAATTTGTTAAAAAAATTAAACTGATAATATGAATTGGATTCTATATCAAAAGAGTCAAAAAGCCATGGAACAAAGTATATATATATATATATATATATATATATATATATATATATATATATAAAAGGATATGATATTATGCTTAATTACCTTTTTTATACCTATTCTACATATTCATTTCTAATATCAATATATCAGAATCTCAAAAAAGAAGAGAAATAGTGAATATTAGTTGATATTCTGATCTAACAGTATTGAAAATGAATAAGTAGAGTAAGTATAAAAAAGGTAGGCATGATATATATATATAAAATATAAGGAGCGTTATATTTACAAAAATTTTATTTATAAACTCTTACAAACTACACTATGTATTTCCGTAAGTACACTAGGTTATACTGTGTACTTCCAGAAATATATAGTATAATTTGCAAAAATTTATAAAAAAAATTTATAAACGGATCATTCTCTGCATAATATTATGTAATGTTTGTAAAGGGAAACCATCTTGAATGAATTGTGTACCAGTTCGTTTGAGACGGCCATCATCATCATAGCACTTGGAGGTACTCTGTGAGTGTGAAGGCACATCCTCTTTGGAGCCTTCGATGACAAAAACTTGATGGTTGTTAAGGCTTTTTGTGGTTGTGTTTTGAGGCATCTTTGGTGAAATGAAACAGATACAAAAGCAGAGCAAGTACGCGTGAGACTGTTGATAATAGAGTCTTGGCTTATATATACCACAAAAGAACTCTTTCACAAATCATACACAAGCTATAAAACACAAAACACACGATATATATAGAGAGAGAGAGAGCTTGGTACAATTACATGCACCAAGTAGGTTATGGATGTTATAGGGGGAGAAATTGAGTATTTATAGAGGTTTTGATTTTAAGAAACGAAACTAATACTGCTGGGGAATAAAGGAAATGAAACTATATATCAAAGTTGAAAGGGATTGAAATGCCAAAAGTAAAGAATAAAAAGCTGATGTTCTATTTTTCTTGTCCTTTTTGAGATTTAAAATTTAAGATTTTTTTTATGAAAATTTTTCAAGAATAATTAATGAGAAAGTGGATAATGATATTTAAAGTTGAGTTAATATGTTGATTATATTCTTTAAAACTCCTAGTTATATTACTTTTATTTTATTCTCATTTGATTATTATTTTTTTAACGAAACTATTTTCATCATAATCGTTTTATTTTTCTTTTGACCATTTGAATGCTATGTACGAATCTAAGAAAAAACGTGGTCCATATGGCACATTATCGTTTTCATGCACCTCATCAAGCACATAAAAGAACGAATTGCAGATACTCACGGAATTCAGCTTCTGCTGTCACTAATCAATTCCACAATTCTAGAACAATACGTAAATGCTTACAGATTGGTAAGCATTTTCTTTTTATGGTATCGTATAACGTATAGTTTGAAAACGAGTGAGAATATATATCACAGCCCAATTGCTAAAAAATAAATAAAAAGACTGCAAAATTTTTTAGGGCGGACTAAAATTCATCAGAACAAAAAGCAAATTGGTCAAAGGTATGTCACATAAAAAAATAAAAATAAAAAACTTTTTATCTTGTTTGATAATTAAATGTAGATGCATCTTGTTACAAAATTTATGAATGGTAACATAAATAAAATAATAGTGTCATTACTTTAACAATTGCTATGAAGTAGCATAACTAGTTAAGATTAGATAATTCTCTTGAGTATGCACAATCTTTCTTACTCTAGCAATTTTGAAGAATAGTTCTTTAATAGCTGGTAATCAAGTAGCTTAACATGTTAACTTAAAGGTTATAAATAATTCAGAAATGGCAGAAGGTTAAGAAGTAATAACAAGTGGGCTATAATCTGATATGGTGTATTAGTGCTGATATAATCGCACTTAATTAATAACAAGTGAACTTGTTTACCAAAAAAAAAAAAAAACAAGTGGGCTCATATATAGTTGTTTTTTTAAAAAAAATTATAGACCTTTGTATTCCTCTCCCACCTGCAAAGCCTCTCCTCCATCATTATATATAGTTATATATATATAAGAATCTATTCCACTTCCTCCTCCTTCCAACCTTTGATCTGTCATCTATATCTTCTTGTAAATTATATAAAAAGCTAGATTGCAAGAATAAAACACCACATCGTTAATTTCCTTTTTTCTGCTTTTGAAGGAAGTTAATTGATTGGTCTCACTTTATTTTTGTTGTATTCATTTTGGCTGGACATTTGCCTTGATTTGAATTTAAAAGGTTCAAACTTATTGAATCTGACAGCTGATTTATAAGTAGATGAATAGTGTATCTTTTATGTTATTTAATTTTTTTTTGTTTTTATGTTGGTTCTGTACCAGAGTTTCTGAACAATTTTTTTTTTGTGTGTGTGTTCAGAAGAGCTCAAGGGAATGAAGAAGAAAATGAATTCTGGATTCTTCCGTTGACCATCTTATGGCTTTCCTTAAACAATTTCTATATTAATTATGAAAATTGATCCTCTCATGTAAAAAAAAAACATGACATAGTTATCTGATAAGATCACAATCATACAAAGGTGAATCAACGGTTATGATTTGTTAATTATCTATTTCAATATTTTTCCTCTATCTTTTTTTATTATCATTGATCTACTTTGGTATGATTATAATTCCCCTCATAATCATGTCAGAAAATCCAAATCCATTAATTATAGTTGAAAAACAGCACTTTATTAATGGTATCAAATTAGTGCGACTTGTTGAAGGCCAAAAGTTAAGCAGGAATAAGGTAAGCAGTACCTACGGATGTATCACTGCCACTAGATATATATAATGACCAGAATTAACTAAAAATAAAAGAATGCATAATAAGAGGGGAAAAAATATTAATATCTTCTTTTCAAGAGACATATGGTCTCTTGTCTCATCGTTTGTCATTCTGGTGGTTTATATGGTCCTGATTAAAAACTCCTCTATTGGGTGAAGAAAAACTAATTAGTTGGAGCTGTTTAGGAGAATCTTGAACAAATAGTCAGAGCCAGATTTGTACTACTTGATTATATTTTTATTGATTGTGAAATTGCATGTTCAGCGTATTCATCATTGGTTTCTTGTGAAATGAGTGCAACGAAGGAGGAACCAATGAAGGTGGGTTTTGAAGAATTTGACCTTTAAATTGGGTAGTGGTGGTGGGTCATTGTACGAGTATTGGATAGGCCAAACCTCCACTCTGTTAATTGCACTATTTGGGCAAAGGGTGCGAGATGATTGAACTTGCTTGAATCCTAAACTAATGGTAATTGATTAGGTGATTCTGCACCATATAATTTGAACAAGATACATAGCTGCGAATTCCCCATTCAACATGTACTCATCATGGACAAGCGAGGTTAACCAGTCTTCTACACTCTGAGATTGCGTTCTCAGCACTAGTCATGGACATGGTCGCGGGCATGGGTTTGGGTTCATGACCTTCCACTTTATAAAGTAGTGAGGCATAAATAATATTATTAGCCACAACTAAAATGTCACGTAAAGCGTTTTCAATTATTTTTCATATCCAAATGTTGGTTGCAGACATGTTAAATCCCTTCATTATATATATATATATATATATATATATATATATATATATTTCTACAGCTGATGTACGTGCAGCAATCAAATATTTGCCATATATATATGTGAAAACATTAAATGCGGAGAATCATAACCATACAAAAGATAAAAGCATTAAATGTGAGAAATCATAACCATACACCTGTCGTTGTTGTACGTAAAGCGGCTGCAGAAATAATTTTACCATATATATATATATATATATATATATATATATATATATATATCTGTCTGTGTGTGTGGATCAGATCATTTTATACTAGTATAAATTACATTCTTAATCTTGACCATTATTTTATTTATATCTAATGACTCTGATTTATAAGATATATCAACCTTTACATACAAGCATTCAATAATTAAAAAAAATATAATTTTGTATTATTTTAAGTGAAACTACTATGTTTTGTTAATTTTTTTACCTTCTCTTGTTGGGCCTATTCCTCCTTCAATGTCAAAGGCCCATTGAGGTGTTTGAAAAACCCTAAACCTTCTTCCTCCCCTATAAAAGCATTAGTTGTGGGATGGAAGTAAAGTTGGCTTGAGAGACACTTTTGAGGGTTTTGTGTGATAAACTTAAAGGTTTGATTTTGAGAGCACCTCTAGAGAGAAGCTTGAGTATTGGACCTCCTTAGGGAAGTTGGAGATAATACTACCATTGTAGGCGAGGTTTAAGTATACCACAATTATTGGTGAAACTCGATCTTCTGTAACCCATTATTTTCATAGTGGAAGTTTGATTATGACTAGCGTCCCGTGAGTTTTTATTTCTTTACATTGGAGAAGATTTTTCCACGTTAAAATCTGTTGTGTTCATTTTTTCTCCCCCTCTCTCTCCTTTACAATTTTGGTTTCTGCTGCGTATAGGCCTACCTGGTGAGTTCAAGTCGTCCTCTCTGATTGTGCCAAGCTCCGAGCTTGACGTTTGACTTCCGCAAAGGCTCCTTAGCCGAGATTGAGGGACCGAGTTTGTTCCAACAGTGGTATCAGAGCTCGGGTTCAATGGATTTTGAAGGAGACAAGATGGAGACCAGTGGAATTTCACATGACAGTGACATGTTCAAGCTGACTGCGGACAACTTCACATACTGGAAACCTATGATGGAAGACCATCTTTACTACAAAGAATCGTATGAGCCAATCATCCTTGAAGAGAGGCCTGAAGGCAAAACTGAGAAGGAATGAGAGAGCCTGAGTCGCAAGGCAGTAGCCATGATCAAGAAGTATATCGACTAAAGCCTCTTTGAGCATGTGTCTGAGTTCACAAATGCGTACAAGTTATGGACGAAGTTGGAGTCCATGATTCAGAAGAGGACTCCAAGGAGCAAAGCATACCTGGTTCGCTAGACTTGTGAAGCTCGAATACAATGACGACATAAGCATGATCGAACACCTCAACACCTACAAAGGCATTGAGAATCAATTGTCTAAAGCCGAGATGAACATTAATGACGAGATGCAGGCTTTGCTGCTATTGAGATCACTGCTAGAAAGCTGGGAAACTCTGGTGGTGACATTAAGCAACTCGATTCCTGATGAAAAACTGAAGATGGACGTCGTGACTGATAGCCTCCTGAATGAGGAATCCAGGAAATGAATGAAGTGTAACCAGCACATATGAGGCAAACGTGGCCGAGAATAGAGGAAGGTCCGACGCCCGGGGTCGTAATAAGAGCTGAGGTCGTTACAAGTCCAAAGGCCGGTCAAGGCCGAAAAATGAGTTGAAATGCTTCTATTGTGGGAAGCCCGATCACAAGATGTCGGATTGTAGAACTCTATAGAAAGAAGAGAAGAACGTCACTGTGAAGCAGGATCAGATCATTCCAAAGAAGAAAGAAGACAAGTTCACAACTGCGGTGGTTACCAATGCTGATGCCGAGATCTTCCTACTTAGTGAAGATAATTTTTTGAATGTTGCAGATGATGACTGCACCTGGATTGTTGACTCTGGTGCCTCTTTTCACGTCACTCCATACAAAGATTTTTTTTCCTCTTACAAAGATGATGATTTTGGAGTGGTGAAGATAGAAAATCAGGTAATCAGTAAAATTATTGGTGTCAGTGATGTGATCCTAACCACGGATGTCGGATGTCGACTTGTGTTGAAAGATGTAAGACATGTTTCTGATATGTGTTTGAACCTAATCTTGGTACGAAAACTTGATGATGTCGGGTTAGTAAACTACTTTAATAGTAGTAGATAAAAATTGGCCAAAGGAAAT